TTATTGATCATAGACTAAAAAATTAATCCATAAACAAATATCAAACTTAAAGTTACGTGTAAAAACATTATGTTGCTTTTGAAGTGTAAATTTGAGTACTAAAGGTTTTGAGCAATTAGAGCAGATTTAATCATAAAGAAACTGGCACTATAATCACAATTGAAACAATCGAATAGAAGTTTGTTACTTGAATGGAACTTCTTTAACCAAAAAATATAAAAATAAAAAATTAAGACAGTTTCAAAGAAGTATTTATGCTTCAAAGGAAGAATTCTATGCATTTGGTATGAAAATAAAACCCCCAAGACGCTTTATTTTTATTTTTTTATTTTTGATGACTCAGGCATCCGAGTTTCGTCTAACTAATCTTGAAGAGTGACGGTCTTTTCCTCTGGTTTGCCACCGAAGAGGCTTCATTTGTACTATTGGACTTGGCCGTCATTCGTTCAAAGGGTAGTCCCTTTGGAGAGTTGTCACTTTTGAATAAAATGGCAGAATTATGAGATTGAAAATGGGTGACAAACCAAAAGATATCTTGAAATTCTGTGAAAAAGTCGATCCTTATTGGTTGAGTTGGTCTAAACCTTTGAATAGAACAAAACTTAAACTCCAAATTTTATATTTTATTTTATTCGTTTAGAAAAAAGGAAAAAGAAAAAGAAGATAATAACTCCGTTCAACCTATTCCATTCCAATATATTGAACATGTTGTGCTGCCTAATAAACTAAAGAAACGTGTCATCTGCATCTTATGTATATTACATATATAATAATCTATGTTATGGCTATGAAAGATCAATAATTGGAATCAATGGGGTACAATTTTCTCCACCTTGTCCGCTTGACTTCATAAATATGTATTGACAACGTCATCACTACAATTTTCTCCATCTCGTGTGCTTGACTTCATCATTTGTGAATAATGTTAGTCGTCTTCATTCTTATTATATAGTTGACTATAACTACCATATTTTTATTTAAAAAATTTCATTTGAATAATAACATTTCGGAAGAAGGTCTTCGCGATCGGCTCGTGACGTCGTTGATTACCTAAAAGGTAATAGAAAACTCTCACTTATATTTTTACTGCTAATACGCTTATCATTTTTTACGAACTTACAAAAGTTTTGTAAGCCACAGTCAATGCACTCCAATAAAAGTCAACTTGTTTTAGTTTTTCATATCTTCTCTTTCCATGGCAACTCATCTTCATTGACTCACGAGATGAAACCATAGTTCGATATAAAAACTTAGCAATTTTAACTACTTAAGATGTACATACATACAATTCATAAAATATACCAACATACATAAGAAAAATCAAAGATTCCTAATGGGGATCCTTGTACATGATGATCGAATAACTAAATTCCAATCAAAATGAAATCTATAGGATAAATCAATGCAATTTATTAAAGTTAATAGGTATATAAGTTATATTCGATGTCGTAGAAGATATAGCGTTTGAAGATATTTCTTGTACATAGAATGTAAAAAAAGGTACATACATGCAACGATGTGACTTAATATTTGATGTCGTAGAAGATTATTATTAGTTTTTCCCAAAATATTCTGCAGGTATAACCGAATCTCTATAAAGTCATTAAATTTACTTGACTCCTCCATAAATTTCATATTTTCTTCTTCAATGTCATTTCATTTGAAATGATTCAATGAATAAAAACATGTTCATTGACTTGTGAGATGAGAGCATTGTAAAAATATAAAAATGATGCGTTTTCATTTTCAAGGAGTTAAGATATACATAAATTTTGATGTCATAGAATATTAATTGTTTCAAAATATTCAATATACATAAAACATAATCTCTATAACTATCATCAGTTATATTTTAAAACTCTGAATAATTACAAATTTTATATCTTCTTCTTCCCTGGCATTTCATTTGAAAAAAGTAACTCATTGTCTCAAGAGCATTATATGAATATAAAAGATAGTGTACATACATAAAAGATATATTGTAGGTATAATATAATTAAGTCACCGTTAATGTCGCAAAAGATATATATAGCGTTTGCAGATATTCCATATACAGAGAATGTAAAGAAAGACACATACATAAGAATGTGAATTCAAGAATTGATGTCTTAGAAGGTTAGATGTTTCAAAATATTTCATGTACATAGAAAATAATCTCTATATGTCATTAGTTTTAATTTAGACTCTGAATTATAACAAATTCCTCATCTTCTTCTTCCATGGCATCTAATTTGTAAGGACTAAAAAATCTTCTTTGACTCAAGACAAGAGAGTATTGCATGTATATAAAAATTATGCATTATGATCTTAAGTAATTACTTATGAAGGAAATAAGTATACTAAGGGTGTGTTTGATTACATTTATTTTCCATAGAAAATATCAGTTTTCCATCTAAATTCTTACTTGGAGTGTTTGATTGCTATTTTTTTCCATGGAAAATATTTTTCAACTTTTGAAAATATGCCTAATTTTCCTTGTTTTTAAGGAAAATATTTTCCTTGGGTAGAGATGGTTTTTATTTTCCACAAAAGATGGAAAATATTTTCTTTTCTAGGTGATATTTTCCATGTCAATCAAACACACTCTAAATGTAAAAATTAGTCATGGACTTAACTTTGGCTTGAGTATGAATAAAAAGCAAATGATTTTTAATGCATATATAGAAATAGTTGAATTATTACGAGCATGTATGTTAAGATTTATAATTGGTTATAAGAAGTGGATCCCAAGAAATGTATCGATTGAAAATTGGGAAAATATTTATTCCAAACTATATTTACCAGGATTCCATGTTTGTCCCCATCGTGTTGGGGCCTAGAGTTCACCAAGAATGAGTAAGTCTCCGTTGGAGCTCCATCTTACATTGGATATCACTATAATGCACTATAACTTCGTCAAGAACCTGATTACAACTTGGTATGACAGCAGTGACCCTATTTTTTTTCCTCTAACTTCCACTTACATTCAACAAATGGAAATCGCCCTAATTTGGAACAACCAAATCATGCTCTCAAATTACACAAAGAACACTCTTACAGTAAGGAAGATTTTTAGAGATTGATAGAGGATTAGGGTTCTTGAGAGTTGCAAATGAGACAAAAGTCACTCATTTTACAAGAATCTAATGGCTGAGAATAATCTTAAATAACAGTTGATAAAACATATTTCACCTTAAAAACGCCCTTAATCAACAGCCCACTTGTTTCACATTTTAAGGGCTTGTTTGTGAGTGATTTTTTCTTTCAAAAAATTGATTTTTTTACCGTTATTTCACTATTTCAATCGTCATATTTGACTTCTTCTCTCACAGGTGGACCCCACTTTTCCCATAGTGGTCAACAAATAATTCTCAAAATCACTCCCAAACAGACTCTAAATATTGAATATTATTCGTCATTCTATGCAAATAAATAATTGTCATTTAACTTTTCAATACATGTTTAATTTATTTTATGTTATTTTCCGAGTCTGATGTAGAATAGTCATATGACATATTTTTCGTTGTACAATAGTGTAATAAAATGAAATCTTAAATATTTAAAATCATCAAAACAGAATTCTTTTGTGTTACTTTTGACCTTCATTTTTTTTTCCTGAATTCATATATATAGAACTATGTATATCTATGTAATTATGAATCCCAAGTATAAATATTGAAGATAACTTTTATGAATTTTATGTCATTGAAGAATTCAAAGATCGATTATTTTATTCTGCCTTCAATGAACACGGTAAGAACTATAGTTTCAGGAGTTGAAATGTATTGTATTTTGGTCCACTCCTTTGCTTCCAGTAATGTAACATCCTAACAAAAAACTTAAATTATAAAATGAGCTATCAACATCCACCATTGACGTCCCTTTGTGATATTACCAAAATAAAAAGGTAGACCATTTCTCCCCTTATTAAATTGTCCTAATGGTGGTGATTACTAATTATTATTTGGAATTAGTAGTTTAGTAATAATAGTTAGTGTTGAAGACGGGATGGTAGGAACCTAGCTAGGTATCTTGAGAATCAGATTCAATCAATTTTTATTAGGAATTTTGAAAATTGTACTATTGATCTTAAAATCAAATCAAAATTGTTTGATTCGCTTTATTTTTCATGAAAAACATCATTTTTCCATCCAAATTCTTACTTTCAAGGATGTTTTATTGACAAAATTTGTTTTATTGACAAAATTTTTCAATGAAAAATATTTTCTAATTTTTGATTACGTGACCATATTATCCTCAAAAAAAAAGGAAACATTTTCTTTAGGATGGGTGGTTTTTATTTTTCAGATAAGTCACTCTCTTTTACTATTTATCCATTCTTTTTCATTTACCCACCAATAAAAAATGGAAACGTATTATATTTTTTAGGTTGAAACCTAAATCAATAAAAAATATTTGATTAACAATTTCGATACAAATAAGTTTTAAGTAATTGAATTATCTAGAATTTATTTTCTTTCTATACAAATTCCATACTCGTCGCACCCTTAGTTCTCGATTCTAAAATTCAAAATTTAATAGAAACCGATTCGATTCTTATCCAGATAATGTGATCCCAATTAAAAAGAGTTATGCTAAACTTACAATGGACGTTGAGAAAGTTGGATAATAAAATCACATCCACACCAATCATTTCAAAAATACATTTTTAAATCATTTGAAATAAATGGTTTGAATTTTGTCAACACACTTTGTAACTCAATTTTTGTAATCTAACTTTGTACAATTAATTTTATTCAATTAAAAATGCCAACCCCACTAAGGAGAGAGGGGTCTGACTGGTTCAATATTTGTAATATAATTAAGGATTATATCGTAGAAAAGCATAATTGGACAAGAATTTTTATTTTCCAAGCTCAGCCGTGTGGAAGTTTCCAGCTGGAATCCCTTTCAGATTTTCTTCTTTTACTCGGCTACTCCCCAATCCTGACTCCACTCCACTTGCCACCCCCTCGACCACACGGTCAAAAATATATGTATAAATATATAGATACAGATATCATGCTGCCAACCCCCCAAGACTTTGTAAAAACGACTTATCACTTTTACATGGAGGGAAAAATGGAGGAAATGCTTACTGGGTTTCGGTTCTACCCTACAGAAGAAGAGTTGGTTTCCTTTTATCTTCACAGCAAGCTTGAAGAGAAAAGACTAGAAATAAATCGCGTTATACCCGTCGTCAACGTTTATCAGCTCGAGCCATGGCACCTCCCAAGTACGATTCTTGTTCTTTTTATTACTGTCGAGTCCTTCGTACCAAGCGCCTGTTAATAATTGTACAGATCTCGAACGTTTATGTTAGTAAACTAATGGTTTCGTCTTGGTTTTCCCATGCAGAACATTCGGGGGAGCTGTGCCGTGGAGACAGTGAGCAATGGTTTTTCTTTGTCCCAAGCCAGGAAAGAGAAGTACGGGGAGGGAGGCCGTGTCGGACCACGGCCTCGGGCTACTGGAAGGCTACTGGTTCGCCAAGTTACGTTTATTCATCGGATAGTAAAGTGATCGGAGTAAAGAAAAGCATGGTGTTTTACAAAGGCAAAGCTCCCACTGGAAGAAAAACAAAATGGAAAATGAATGAGTATAGAGCCATTGAGGAAGATTTCAACACTTCTATTCCCAAGGTGCACATATAAGAATTTATTTAATTCATGTCTCGTCGATTGATAGAAAAATTAGTTGAAAACACAATGGAATTCTCAAATTGATTAGCCCTGTTTATGATTTTCAGTTGAGGCATGAATTGAGCCTGTGCCGAGTTTATGTGGTGTCAGGAAGTTCTCGAGCATTCGATCGACGCCCGAGCGGGCTTGGGCCGCCGCCGCCGCCAATGATCATCAATCAAGAAAATGATAGTCGTGGTGATGGTGTAACTTCTGAATGTGCAAAAACATTGTGGGCATCAGAAAGTTCAATGTCAGGAGAAAGCCATGGAGGAGGCTCCAATTCGCAGATGATTAATGGTTTAGAATATCTAGTTGAGTAGTGTTCTTAATTAAAGTGAGTTAGGCACATTATAAAATATAATATCTTGATCTGAAATTATTTTCCAAAACGCTTAACGAGTGGAACTGATTTCTTGTAAGATAAATACGTATGGGATGTAAGATAAGTGGATTTGCTTTTAACAATAGTTTGGACCTATAAAGGGATATTGTACTACTTGTAGCAAACATTTTCTGTTTTTAATTTAGAGAGAAACTTACCACAAAAGTTCATTTGCTTGATAAGTCATATAGACGAGTAATAAAATTGTTGAAAAAACAAAAGTTCACTTTTTCTCATCTTAAATCGGCGATAATTATACTTGAGCTTAGGATCCAATTAGCTAGTCTCCTCACGTTTAGACAGGTTTACTTTTTCTCATCAAGCTTAATACGTGCACAATTTCATTAAATCTGCATTAATTATACTTGAACTCAGGATTTAGTTACAAAGGGCACATATATATCATTTAAACATTGTGTTCCCTTACGTGTAGACGGAGTTTAATTTTATTAAATGACAAGAACATCACTTGAACTCAAGACTTTAATTTGCTTCCTCTAATTCTATTTTTAAACTTTGAATATCATTTTAAAAGACCAACTTTATTAAGAGGTGTAATACAAGTCCTTACGTATTGTATATTTTTTGTAATGGAAATGGATTTTACCGTTAACAAAAACATAAATTAATAAGAGGATTTTTTATCTTCTTTTCAGAAATGGAAAATTTCATGGATTCCTTGGATATCATTAGTTCATTTTGAATGTCAATCAAACTCTTATTTAAACTGGAATTTGTAAGGGGACATTAATTTCTTAAATAATTTCAAACAATATCTCTCCCGATGGAAGAATGGAAAATGACTAGTAGTTATATAAAAACAAATGGTTGTCTTGAAGGAAATAAGGAATTGGATTGAACAATCTGTAGGCGTGAGCTGTGAGGAGCTTATCTTTGGCAATATAATCAATATATTTTAGGTAGTAATACTTTTGTCGAGGGAATAAAATCATTAAGAATTTTATAGTCCAAAAATAGATTTAAATCTTCTCCTATTTAAACTGTACCATCCTTATCGTAAAGATTATCAATGAAAACAAGAATATAATTCCTTCATGGTATCGTAGCATTGTATCTGATCCAACAGCCTTTGTTTTGTTCTAGCCGTGCTCTCTTGAGCATTTATTCAAACACATGGAAGGCACTAATGATGTGGAGAATTCTAACCACCTACCACCCAAAACCAACACCTTCCTCCTATAATTTATAGCAAAGATGACTGAAGCTTTGAACAAAGCACAGACATCAACCTCAACTACCTAACCTTCACCCCAAATTGACATCAAATTGGATGGTTCATCACATACAAAGCAATGGGGGGGGGGGGGGGGGGGGGGGACTATACTATATGGAAGGTTTCAGTATGGATCAAGCTCATTACATACAAAGCAATCGAAGGGATCGACAGATTTGGTTGTGGCACCGTTGTCTAAGATACCCATCTTTAAGCTATTTGAAGCACCTAATACCTAGTCCTTTTTTGAATACGATGATTTCTGACTTTAAATGTGATACATGTATTGTAGCAAAAAGTCACAGTGCACCTTATTCATTAAGCATGAACAAAAGTACTATTCCTTTTTCTTTAGTACATTCGGATGTGTGGGGGTCCCTCACCTATATCTACTGAATCTAGCATTTGTTGGTTTGTCATATTTGTTGATGACTGTACTCGCATGACCTGGCTCTATTTACTGAAACATAAAGATGAAGTGTTTAAGGTATTTCAATCGTTTCATGCCATGATTCTAACTTAGTTTTCCCCTAAACTTCAAGTCCTTCGATCTAACAATGGTGGTGAATTTGTGAATCAGCACTTTCGTACCTATTTTGAACAACATGACCTTATCCATTAAACGTCATGCCCACAGACTCCCCAACATAATGGCATTGTTGAGCGGAAAAATAGACACATTTTTTAGACAGCAAGAGCTCTCTTACGTGGAGCCTTTGTCTTGAATCCTACTGGCCTGATGCAGTGTCCATGGCAGTCCACTTGCTCAATCGAATGCCTTCCAAGGTCTCACATTTCAAAACCCCACTTCAAGCTCTTGCATCACATGTCTCCATACCCACAACACTCATGTTCCCTCCACGAGTTTTTGGGTGTATAGTTTATGTACACCTTCACAAAAATCAGAAAACAAAGCTTGATCCATGTGCTCTCCATTTTATGTTTGTGGGCTTAGCTGTGCATCAGAAGGTTACAGGTACTACGATCCATCGACTAAACGTACCTATGTGGCTATAGATGTTACTTTCTCTAAGAACAAAGCCTTTTTCTCAACAAAGAGTTAAATTAGTTGCACTTTAATTGGCCGAATGTAGAGACAGGAGCAGAGCAAGAAAATGAGCTGGCTCGGACAGAAACTGAATCAAGAAATGATTACGCCATAATAGAAGCTGAACCAAACTCCCAACCACAAGTTGAACCAAACTCCCCCCTTCTTTCAGTACTTGCAAACCTATCTCTTGAGAATATACCTGAGGTAAGCACTCCTGATATATCTTCTTATATAAATTTCGATACCTATGCTAGATATAAGTTACCTTTCATGCATAATCGGGACAAACCACCTAGCAGATATTCTTCAGATATGGAAGAGCGAGGATCAAAGTATCCAATTATAAATTACATGTCTACTGACTAATTATCTGAGCCTTTGAGAGCTTTTGCACATGTACTCTCCCCAAATCATATTTCAAGTGGAGTTCAAGATGCCCTATTAGATTCATAATAGGCCCAGGAAATTAAAAAAGAAATGGAAGCCCTACGAAAAAATAACATATGGACCCTAGGTCTATTACCTGAGGGGAAGAAGGCAGTAGGATGTAGATTGGTGTTCTCCATCAAACACAAGGCAGATGGATCTGTTGAACGATACAAGCTTGACTGGTAGCAAAAGGCTATACGTGAACATATGGGGTGGATTACCAAGAAACTTTCTCACCAATTGCAAAACTAAACATAGTGCAAGTTCTACTATCTCTTGCTACCAACTTAGACTGGTCATTACACCAACTTGATGTAAAGAATGCCTTCCTACATGACGACCTTGAGGAAGAAGTATACATGGATCTCCCTCCAGGCTACACATACCCCTCAGACACTAGAATTGTGTATAACTTACAAAAGGCACTACTATATGGACTAAAGTAGTCACCTCGAGCGTATAATCCAAAAATAGATTTAAATCTTCTCCTATTTAAACTGTACCATCCTTATTGTAAAGATTATCAATGAAAACAAGAATATAATTCCTTCACAATCAACGTATTTTATCTTTTCCTAATCATGTATAATCATATTTAATGTAACAAATCAAATGTGCTTTTAAATTTTTTGTTAAAAATTTAAAAAGGAAGATAAATGATCTCCTAACCACCAATATTTAACATAAAGTAAGCGTCAATGACATAATACATCAATTAATTGATGAATAAGTTTAAAAAAGATCCCAAAAAAATGATACAATAATAATTAATTGATTTGCCATATCATCAGTACTTAGTAAAAGAGATCATTTTTTTTAAATAACAAACTGTCATGTGTATTTCACGTAGGACGATTATCACTAATTTTTACTGTAAATATCATTACTCTTTTAAAAGAGGAATAATAAATATTTGGCACTTGTACTTCTAGTAAATACCTTTTCTAGACCAAAGAAGATCAAAGCTACCCATTCAAGTTGTCTACGACTATCGTCCAAAGACCAAAAGTTCAAATTTCAAATAAGATAATGTCTTTGTGTGAAACTGATTTTCTTAGTAGTGATTTAGTGAAAAGTAAATTTTTTTGGGGAGAAATATGGTTAAAAAGTAAGAAAATGTGAATATAGTTTTTGTGAAGCACATGTGGTAGAAAATTATATACGAAAAAAGTGATTTTAAAAAAATCTATTTCACTCCTTGATTAACTCATAGTCTAGGATCAAATTCCTTTATCAACCGCACTGTTGTTAGGCCGGGATA